TGCGTTTGTTGCCTGGAAATTAAGATAGTTTCTTTGCGTCCAAGATAGCCTCAACTAACTGTAAAAAAACTGCTCAGGTTCCCTAGAGCGTTGCAATTTCCGATTGGGACGGCGCAGTCGAGATCGATTCGACGGGAGCGACAGTCTTCGAATTCTTCCTTACGGAATGTACAGAGTTGCTATGGGCGAAGGCCCCAAGATCGTGGGAGTGGGCAATCGGACGGAGCGATACTCCCGTTCATTCGTTGACTCTCCTCTCAGGGCGGAGGGTAGGCCACTTGGTAAACCTCTTACGAAATCGACCGCAAGACTGGTCGAACGTACCGCTGACAAAGCTCATTGACGACTCGCTCGCTGCGGCGATAACCGAACTGCGTCATCGATTCGGCAACCATCCGAACGGATGGAGATGGGGCCACATCCGCCTCCTCTAACCCTGAAGCACCCGTGGGACGGAGCCGTTGTGGCTTGCCCTGTCTACAACCTCCCTCCCATCCCGTGCGCGGGCGACACGAATACCGTCTTACAGACCGGCGTCGACCCCCGCAACCCTGCAGGGAGTCCCCTCGTGTGCCCGTCGATGCGTATGGTGCTTGACGTCGGCAACTGGGACGAGAACCTCTTCGCCCTGCCGGGCGGTCAGTCGGGGAATCCGCTATCTCCTCACTACGACGATCAGTTCGGTCTATGGGCGGAGGGTACTGGGATATCTATTCCCTGGTCTCATGAGGCAGTCGAGCGAGTATCGGTTTCGACCCTAACCCTGTCCCCGGAAAGCATGGGGTAGGCCATAACCGGCGAAAGGCGAGTCTGTCCTGCTAGACAGCTCGGCGTGTCCAGCGTCAAACGCCGAAAGCGGTGGAGCCAACGGGCAGGATCGAACTGCCGACCTGCTGTTTACGAAACAGCTGCTCTACCACTGAGCTACGTTGGCTGATACCAAATTATTGTAGCACAAGCCCCTAAACCTTCTTAAAACCTAAAGAGAGAGGGACACTCGATCGAGTGTCCCTCTTTTGTGTCGTACTTCCGTTGTTCGATTGTTAGGCCGGACCCTTGTAATCCGGCCTCGTCGTTGTGGGGGTATCCCCATGATTCTTCCGTTCATCGTGGCCGCCTAGTTCCGAATGTAGAAGCTGTACGGGTCCGCGCTCGGCAGATCGCGGAAGTCGCGCTTGGCCTGCTCACGCGTCGGCGCGCCGGTCGCGTCGAGCCGCTGGAGCTTCTGAAGGTACCGCTCGAAATCGGCGCCGGGGCCGGCGGGCTTGATGAACTTGATTACTGCCTGAAACATACCTACCTCCTTTCCTGGAATATTCGTCGTTCCAACGTCGGTCGTCTGTGGCATTTCGCCCTCCTTCTTTTGTGGTTGACCGGTCATCCATCTCTATTGTCCGGCAAGTCCTATATCATTCCTAGCCATTCGACGTGATAATATATATTTACTTTCACAATAGTATTTTGGTGTGTCTACGTCATGGAACTGCGAGAACTTCGGAGCTTCTGCACGGCGGCGAAAGTGGGCGGCATCTCCAAGGCGGCACTCGAACTCGGTCTCGGCCAGCCAACGGTGACGACCCATATCCGCAAGCTGGAAGAGGAGATGGGCTCGGCGCTGTTCGACCGGAGCAAGCGTCCGATTCGATTGACTCCGTCCGGGGCTGCGCTCGTCGAGCTTGCGGCGCCACTGGTCGAAGGCATCGACGACCTAGTGCAGAGCACGACACTTGCCGAGCAGGAGAGTCTCATCACCGTCGCCACGACGAACGATATGGTCGCGCATACCCTCCTGCGAACGGTTACGGTATTCCTGCGACGCTATCCTCACACACGTCTGAGGATCAGCGCGGCGTACATGGCTGACATTGATTGAGTTGGTGCGGACCGGTGAGACGGACCTTGGGCTAATACCCTATCCCGGCAGGTCGGAGGAGCTCGATTTCACCGGACTGTTCGCCTACGAGCGAGTGCTCATCACTCCTCTGAATCACCCGCTGCTCAACGAGGAGGTCGTAACATTCGAGCAGATAGCCGAGTGGCCGCTAATCCTTCGGGGCGGGATGACGCTGACGCGCTCCATGCTGGAGTCGGAGTTCAAGCGTCGAGGCCTCTCGTATGAGGTGCTGGTGGAGCTCGACGGGATGGACATCATCAAGCGGTACGTCGCGCTCGGAATGGGCATCTCGGTAGGGCCGCGTCTGGCGATAGAGCCGGAAGACGAGCATACGCTGGGCATCATCAATCTGGCGAACCTGCTGCCCATCGAGCAGGCGGGTATCCTGACGCTTCGCGGCAGGACCCTGTCGACCCCGGCGCAACAATTCGTCCAAGTGATGCGGGACACTCTTATGCGCCGAAGGTGACGGTTACGAGCGGTAACGGGGCTGGTGGTTGGCGCCGCTCATGATGGGTTCGTTGCGGAACACGTCGCCGTTGCGGATCTTGAGGTTGTAGTCACAGTTGGGGCTGCTGCATACCCACGCTTTGTAGTGAATCGGCGCGCCCTGACCTCCGAAGTCCGACAGGGGCAGCAATACGCCCTCTCTGCACTCTAGGCATTCAGGCCATTCGTCGTTCCTTTTCCCCACATCTTCCTCCTGCGCGACCGTTGGCCGGATATCGAGAGCGCGCAAAGTATACAACGATCACACACTGTCTACAACCTTTCATTTTGGGGCCAATTGAGATGTTCTCCCGATAGCTGGCGCCAGGATCTGCAGAGCATGGGCATTCGGCCAGTTCCAAGGACGCCGGCGGGTAGGAGGCACTCGAATCGTACCCAGAACCAGCTCAGCCGGATGCCCACCCTTTGCACCCACTCGTCTCCTTCTGCACTATCTCTTGCGGGCGAAATACGGGTAGTATTGGGCTACTTCCGGTCGACCTGCCATCGCCAGTGAACTGGGGTATTCTGTCGCAGTCCTTACGAGACACCGCAATGACACGAACGCCGATCCAATACGAATACCCACCCTTCACTCTGAGATCGAACGCGCTGTTCTTCCACGACTGGCGGTACGTCCACCACGGAATTACGCGATGGACCACGGCCACGGGCGAGCCCATCGAGCGCTACTCGGACGAGCCGCTTCCGGACGTGGTGGAATGGCGCGGATCGGACATCCCTAGTGGGATCCGGCTTCGTGCCATCCCTGCCCAGAAGTCGGATCCATTCCTGCGGGCCGACTCGCCGTGGGAGGAGCACCTGCGCCATGCGACGGTTATCCGGGATGGTGGGATTTACCGGTTGTGGTATGACACAAAGTCTCTCGGCTGCTACGCCGAGTCGGATGACGGGACAACGTGGCGCAAGCCGAAGCTGGGGCTCCGCGAGTTCGAAGGAACCACGGCAAACAACATCCTCTGGGGCGAAAACCTGCCGCCGGAGCCGGACTACATAGGCGCGGGGTGCGTCTTCATCGACCCCTCCGCCCCGGCGCAGGAGCGATACAAGTCCTTCCACAACCGGCATATCGACGCCGACGTCTTCGAGCGGTTCCGCCGCCGTTACCCGGAGGATACAAGCCCCCGGGCACAGTCGGGAATCGAGCGCGGCAAAGGGACCGCTGCGCAAGCCGGAGCAACTTCGCCGGACGGCATCCACTGGACACCATTCGACCTTCCGTTGGTCGTACATGGCAGCGACACCCAGAACGTCGCCTACTACGACGAGGTGCTTGGCAAGTATGTCGGATACTTTCGGACCCACGTGTTCCGCCGACGCTCCATCGGGCGGGCGGAGACCGATGACTTCCGTCACTTCCCGCTGCCTGACACGATTGTCTGGCCCGACGCCGGCATAGGCGCCCGCGGACGTGTGGTATGCAAACGGCGCGCACGAGCTACCCGGGCGCGCCCGACTACCACCTCATGTTCTGCCGAAGATGGCGCGTCTCCGAGGACCGCTGGTCGATTCACCTGGCGACAAGCCCCGACGGTGTCCTCTGGAGCTTCCCGCCTGATTCGCAAGTCCTCGCTCCGGGAAATCACGGCGAGTGGGACGCGGGCGGTTCTGCCGTCGGCCCCGGCATGGTCGAGCTGCCCGGCGACCGCGTAGGAGTCCCGATGATCGGGTACGCCGTGCCGCACAAGTACCCTCGCCGAAAAGCCGCTCGGCGAGATTGCCTGGTCCACGTGGCAGAAAGGCAGACTGGTTGCCCTTGTGGCCGACGAACACGGCTCCTTCCGCACCCCTGCCCTGCTCTTCGACGGCACCACGATGAGGGCCAATGTAAGCACGAAGCACGTCGGCATGCTACGGGTCGAGGTTGTCGACGATGACGGTGCACCCATACCCGGCCACGCCTTCGACGACTGCGACCCGATCAGCGGCGACTACCTCAACCACCTGGTCACGTGGCGCGGCGACCCGACAATTCGGCGTCACGACAACCAGCCTGTCTCATTTCGCGTGAAACTGTCGCACGGAGAAATCTTCGGATTAACATTCGGATAGGTCACGGAGACCGCAGGGAAAGGGCCGTGTTCGTGGTACCGCGGATGCCCGTGAAAGGCCCAAGTATCGCGAGGTACTGTAACCGTCCCGTTGACACAGTTCGGGTGCTCCCCTAGACTCGCCGACAACTGCAAACAGTCGCGGAGGACCCCATGCCTATGGATGACCGTTCAACCTTCAGCTACAAGTCGCCAAACGTGTTTGGCCGAATCGCCGTTGCGTGGAAGCTCATAATAGGTCTGCGCGGTCAGGAGCTCCAAAGCGTCGGAAGCTGGATCGAGCGCAACTACGCCCAAAGCGGTCGTGTCGTCGGATTCATCAGATTCGTCGGCTGGGCCGTGAAGTCGATGCTGGTGGATATTCCGAACGCGCTCGTCGGCGTCACCTTCGCCAAGCCCATGTCCAAGGTCTCCTATTGGCTTGCGGCGGACAATCCCGTGAAGAACCATCCCTGGGCGTCTCAGCCGAACGCAAGGCTGCCGGAGGCGTGCGAGGTTGTGGTCATCGGCGCGGGATTCACCGGCGCGGCCTGCGCGTACCATTGGTCGAAGCGTAACGGCGGCCAAATGGTTCTGCTGGAGATGAACGAGGCCGCCTCCGGCGCCAGCGGACGCAACGAGGGCGTCGTCGTCATGGGCAGGTTCCATGCCTATGTTAAGAAGATGATGCTCGACGACCTCCCGCGCGTCCGACCCGATCTCGACAGTGCCCAGCGTGAACGTCTCGCGGAGAAGTTCGCAGAGGCCTACGTTCGCGCGGCGTACAAGAACGCCGACTATGATCTGAGCAGACCATTCGCGACGAGGGGTTTCGGCGTCGACTACGCCCGTGTCGGCTGGGTGCAGGGACAGACGGATGACTCGCAAGACTACCTCGACTACTCGGTCCGAGAGAGCTACGAGAAGGGACTTCGACGACTGGGACTTGGTCGAGCCGAAGCAGGTCCTGGAATTGACCGGCATGAAGGTCGAGTCCGGTACGGCCTGTCGAGGCGCGCCGCCACGTGGCACCCGGCGAAGTGGGTCTGGTCGCTTGTCTCGACGGCTATCAAGGCGACAACGTGGACTTCTTCAGCAGGACCCGCGTACACAGGGTCGAGGACACCGGCGACCGCTATGCCGTGCACACTAACCGGGGCACGATCACCGCCCGCTATGTCATCAACGCAACCGAGTCGTACACTGCCGCGCTCCACCCGGAGTTCATAGGTAAGCTCGTGCCCATCCAGACCAACGCGGCGTTCGCCGAGGGAGGCCCTGCAGCCATGAAGGAGCACGTGGCCATGGGCGGGCCGAACTCATGGTTTGGAAAGCACCCGGATGGAGTAATCCTCGGCACTGGGGGCATCACTCTCGATTACACGCAGGCAGGCCGCATCAGGCCTTCCCGCTTTCTAACCAACTACATCATCACCGAAATCCAGCACATCTTCGGCCACAGCCCCATGCACGTCTTTCGCGAGTGGAGTTGCACCGCCGGATTCACCGACGACGAGTACCCCATTGTTGGCTTGCTGGACGGGAAGAATCAGTACATCATCGCAGGGATGTGCGGCTCCGGCTCCGGCGTCCACTTCAATGGCGCCCGCCACGTGGTCGACCACATCCTCGGCATCGAAGGGCCCGACGACTACCCCGAGCAGTTCTTCTCACCGACGCGAGTTTTGGACCCAGAAGCCCACCTATGGCCAGAGTAGAGCACATCAATCGCAGTCAGCGATTTTCTCACAATTACGCCATTTCGTGCCATTTTTCTTCTTATTGTCAAGTTGAGTGAGTCTTGCTCGTTAGGAAAGAAATGGACGTAGAGATGCGCTTACCCTGAGCATCACGGGGCTGCTGGACAAGGGCAAACGCCTCATCTACAGTAGTCCCAATCGAATACACTTCGGGAGTTCCTATGCCTATCCTCACACCTGAACGCATTATCCAGATCTCCTACGACTTGCTTAGGGCCGTGGGCTCAAAAGAGAGCCACGCAAAGACCGTCGCAGAACACCTCGCCAACGCCAATTTGTCGGGCCACGACTCACACGGGTTCATCCGCATAATCCAATACGTGCGCGAGGTCAATGAGGGGGCCATACATCCCACATCTGAACCTGTCGTGCTCAACGAGTCTCCGACGACCACCCAGCTGGACGGCAACGGGACATTCGGGCAGGTCGTCGCTACGGCGGCGCTTGAGATCGGTATGGCGAAGGCGCGCGAGCACGGTCTCAGCCTCGTGACCATGTCCAAACTTGAACACACGGGCAGGGTTGGTGCGTACCCGGAGGCCGCGGCCATGCAGGGAATGGCGGCGTTCATGTGCTCTGGATTCGTCGGCGGGCCTCAGCTGACGAACGTGTCTCCATTCGGCGGCACCGCCCGCAAGCTTGGCACCAATCCCATGGTCATGGCCTTCCCCTACCAGGACGACGGCCCTATCCTGCTGGACTTCGCAACGTCGATCTCGGCGGAAGGCAAGCTCCGCGTCGCACGAGCAAAGGGAGCCACCCTGCCCGACTACTGGATCATCAAGCAGGACGGCACGCCGTCCAAAGATCCCAACGACTACTACGCGGGCGGCTCCCTAATTCCCACAGGCGGACTGCAAGGCGGTCACAAGGGGTACGCCCTTTCATTCATGGTGGCGCTGTTCGGCGCGGTCCTTGGAGGTCTCGCGCACACCGAGTATCAGACCACCGAGACAAACAACGAGTGGACACGACTCGGCACGACCCTGATCCTGATCGACCTCCAACGGCTCGGCTCGGTAGATCTCATCAAGGCGCAGGTGGATGGCATTGTCGCCTACGTTAAGGACACGCCCCTGCGCGAGGGCTTCTCTGAAGTGCTGTACCCCGGCGAGTTCGAGGTCCGCAACCGACGACAGCGCCGCGCCGACGGCCTCTACATCGAAGACTCGACCTGGAACGAGATATCAGATCTCATGACGAAACACGGAGTGAACTAACGAACATGACAAACCAAGTCCTGGTAGACCCCACCGACCTCACACGATTCACTACCGACATTTTCGAATGCGCCGGGATGCCGCGTGAGGACGCGGAAATCGAGGCCGACGTGCTGGTGTGGGCCAATCTAAGAGGCGTCGACTCGCACGGTGTCCTGAGGATTCCGTGGTACATCAAGAACGTCGACGACGGCGTGTTCAACGTCAGCCCTAACTTCGAGATCGAAAAAGAGACGGCGGCAACCATTCTCATAGAGGGTGACCGGGCATTCGGGCCGGTCGTAACCGTGTTCGCCATGAACAAGACTATTGAGAAGGCCAGGGAGGCCGGTGTCTGCTGGACCATCATCCGCAACACGACGCACCAGGGCGCGATGGCGTACTACTCGCTGATGGCAGCCGAGCAGGACATGGCCGGCATCGCCGTCGTCTGCAGTCCGCCCAACATGGCGGCCTTCGGCTCCAAAGGAAAGGGAGTACATAACAGCCCCATCGCCATCGCCGTTCCCGCCGGGGAGCGCAATCCACCCGTCCTCGATATGGCAACCAGCGTCGTTGCCGGCGGCAAGCTCAGCCTTGCGCAGGACAAGGGGGAGTCGATTCCGCCCGACTGGTCGCTCGACCCGCAGGGCAACCCCACCACGACCCCGAGCTTCGACAATGTCCTGCTCCCATTCGCCGGCCCCAAGGGTTCCGGGCTAGCGCTCATGTTCGCCACCCTCTCGAACGTCATGGTTGCCAACCCCCTGCTTGAGCCCAACATCACCGGCCGGGCACCCACTTCGCGAGGCGTGCAGAATAGCTTCCTCGTGGCCGTCGACATCGCCGCGTTCACCGACGTGGACGAATACAAGGACAACATCGACCGCCTCATCGCCGCTCAGAAGACCCTTCCCCACAGCCGACGGATTCGACGAGATCCTCGTTCCGGGCGAGCCGGAGTATCGGATGCAGGCCGAACGCTCTCGCAACGGCATTCCCCTGCCGATGGGCACGGTTGAGAACATCCGCCCGATCGCCGAACGCTTCGGCGTGGAGATGCCGCACGGCGCTTAACCGACCCCTCTCCCACTTCTCAGTGTTGTCACGGAAAAGTTTTAGACAACACCTAAAATACCTTGCGTCGCGTTTTCCCGCTCCGATATGCTGGCCCCAAGCAGTTGCATCACGGCGCCTTGGGCCGAGGAGGGTTTAGTTTGAAGCTAACGCGCGCGAGAGTAACCGACTATCGGAGCATCGACGACTCGGGCTGGGTTGATGTCGACAGCGTAACCTGCCTGGTCGGCAAGAACGAGTCCGGCAAGACCGCTTTTCTGGCGGCACTGAAGAAGCTGAATCCCGTTGATCGTGTCAGCGGCGATTTCGACCTCAAGGACTACCCCGCGCAAGGGGTACGTCAGATACCGGCGGCAGCACAAGACCAGTCCTGCGGTCGTCGTGCGGGCGGAGTTCCGTCTTGATCAGGACGAGATCAGCGAGATCGAAGAGGAGTACGGCATAGGAGTCGTGGCGTCGCCTGTGGTGATGGCCAGCAAGAACTACGCGAACTCCCGCATGTGGGACATCCAACTTAACGAGGCGTCGCTCGTCCAAACCTGATCTCGGAGGCCGGGGCTGCCGGCGGAGATCGAGGAACGCGCCGAGGCCGCAAGTTCGATCGACGAGCTGCGCTCGATACTGGAACGCCTCGAGATCAAGCCTCCCGTCGTCGGGAATCTTCTCATCGACATCAACAGCCGCTTCAGGACGAGCCTCAAGGAACTGATCGTCGACGACTACCTCGAACGCTACCTGCCCGCCATCGTCTACTTCGACGACTACAGCACCATGAGAGGGCGCATCTCCATTCCGGATATCCGCCGGCGAAGTGAGAATGGCGGCCAACTCGACGACGCCGACCGGACCTTCATGTCGCTATTATCCCTGGTGGGCACCGACATCGACGCCCTCGAGAGCCAGATGGACTATGAGCATCTCAAGGCGGAGTTGGAGTCGGCATCGATCAGCATCACCGACGACGTCTTCGAGTACTGGCACCAGAACCGGCAATTGCGTGTCGAGTTCGACCTGTCCAACGCTAATCCGAACGACCCGCCCCCGCTGAACGAGGGCACGATCCTGCACATCCGCATCTGGAACAATCGGCACCGGGTCTCTGTTCGCTTCGACGAGCGTTCCAAGGGGTTCGTCTGGTTCTTCTCGTTCCTCGCGTACTTCTCCGGGCTGGAGATGGAAGACGAGAACCGCAACCTGCTCCTGCTGCTCGACGAGCCGGGCCTCAACCTTCACGCGATGGCCCAGAAGGACTTCCTGCGGTTCATCGACGAGCGCCTCGCGCCCAAGCACCAGGTCATCTACACGACGCACTCGCCGTTTATGATCGACCTCAACCGGCTCGGCAGCGTTCGCACCGTGCAGGACATGGACGACCGCGGCACCGTCATTTCCGACGACGTGATGGTCCACGACAGCGAGACGGTGTTCCCGCTGCAGGTGGCCATGGGCTATCAGCTGGCGCAGTCGCTGTTCCTCGCGCCCGCACTGCCTCTTGGTCAACTCGCCGTCCGACCAGATCTACCTTCAGGTACTCGGCGAGGCGGTCGCCGCACAGGGCCGTCCTTCCCTCGACCCACGCTGGGTCACGATACCGGTCGGTGGTGCCGACAACCTCCCGACGTACGTTTCGCTCCTTGGCGAGAACTACGTCAACGTCGCCATCATGATGGACGTGTCCCCCAAGAGCAGGGCGCGCATCGAGGCCAAGCACGGGAAGACCGGCCACAACAGTCCCCATCAAGATGGTCGAGGTGACAAAGATCAGGGACGCCGACATGGAGGACCTGTTCGACCCGCACTTCTACCTGAACCTGGTCAACACGGTCTACGCGCACGAACTGCCCTACGAGCTGACTATGAAGGCAATTAGCGGTCCGAGCCCGCGCATTGCGCAGCGCATTCAGAAGTTCTTCGAGAAGGAGAACGTCTGCGGCGGGTATTTCGACCCGTATCGACCGGCCGCATACCTCCTGAACAAGCACTTGGAGTTCCGCTCGGAAATCGACGATTCCACGGTTGACAAGGCGGCGTCGATGTTCAACCGCGTCAACTCTCTCCTTTCGGTGAACGATAGCGGCAACGGCGCGTCTCACTACACCAATGGTGGCGGCAACGGCGCGAGTGCAAAGTCGAGTTCGGCTTGGTCCTACGGCCGTTCGCGGGTATCGTCCGCCTAACCGCATGACGACAAGGAGGCCGCGAGCTTCGCGTCGGGCGAAGTGATCGGGCCTTCATAAGAGCAGAGACGGTGCGTCTTCATGATGAAGACGCACCGTCTTTTTTCCCGTTAAGGAAACCATTGAGCAACCTCCGCGAATGTCATTCCGAACGTAGCGGAGCGGAGTGAGGAATCTAAGGTGCTCGTTCTCCTGGCGGAGTTCCGTAGCAGACACGGCCTCAAAAACGACGACAAACCATCCTAGATTCCTCGCTGCGCTCGGAATCACCATGGCCTTGCGAAGGCCACATAAGGGGATGAAAACGGGTTGGCGCCGGGAACGGACAACCACAAGGGTTGCCCCTACAACAGGTTTGCCGGAGCCTGTTTTCATAGCAATTAGCCATGCCGGTTGCCACCGGCACCATGGAAGATGAAAATGTGTGTTTTGGTCTACGAAGCCGCTCCGGGGCTTATTTTCAGAGGAATGACAGACTGTCATGCCAGTTATGCAAGAGTCTCATAAGCGGATACGGAAAAGAACCGCACCCTCTCGAAATTGAAAGGGTGCGGTGTACGTTTCCCGCTGAGGTAGACGCCTAAACGCTACTCGAACAGTCGGCCGGTCGAGGGCGGGCCGCCGTTCCGCTTTGTGTCAGGGAGCCGGCGGAGCCGGAGGAACGGTTGGCGTGACCTGAACGACCTTCTCTTCCGGCACCTCGAACTCACCGACACAGGAGATCGACGCCACGGCATCGCCCTCCTTCGGGTTGAAGATGCGCACGCCCTGGGTCGCGCGTCCGGTGCTGCGAATCTCGGAGAGGTTTGTGCGGATCACCTGGGCCTGCTCCGACACGACGTAGACCTCGTCACTGTCGGCGATGACTTCGGCTGCCGCGACTTTGCCCGTCCGTTTCGTGACGGACATTGTCTTGACACCCAACCCACTGCGGCCCTGCGACGGGTAACTCTTGAGATAGGTGAGTTTACCGTAGCCGTTCTTGCTGATGACGAGCAGCTTGCTATCGGGAATCACCATGTCCATCGACACGATCCGGTCTCGCTTTGAGAGCATCATGCCTCGCACGCCGCCGGCAGCCCGTAATCGCGGCTTGACGTCCTGGACGGGGAACCGTATCGACATTCCCTGCTCCGTTACCATCATGACGTCATCGCTCTCGTGGGCGAGACGCGCGGTCACGAGCATGTCCTTATCTCGCAGGTTGAAAATGATCAGACCCGCGCGGCGGATGTTGGTGATCGCGTTAAGTGCCGTCCGCTTTACGCTCCCCTGCTGGGTGGCCATGACGAGGTAGAGGTCAGGCTGATCAAGGGTCTTGACGCCGATAATCGCCTCGACTTGCTCCTCACCGCTCAACGGGATCACGTTAACTACCGGAACCCCTCGCGTGTTGCGCGACGTATCCGGGCGAAGCTCGTAGGTCTTCAGCGGCAGAACCCGCCCACTGCTCGTGAAGAACAGCAGCATGTCATGCGTATCGACCACGAGTATATGACGCACCGGGTCGTTGTCACGCGTGTTCATCCCCGAGACACCCTTGCCGCCCCGGTGCTGGTTGCGGAACGTCGTGGCCGGGATGCGCTTGATGTACCCGCCCTTGCTGAAGGTGATGACCACCTGCTCGTGTGGCTCGATGTCGTCGCGGTTGATATCGATGGAGGCGTCGCTGATTTGCGTCCGTCGCTCGCCGTCGATCTTGTTCTTGAGAGTACGCGTCTCCTTCTTGACTACCACGTCCACCTTGCGGGGATCCGCCAAGAGGTCTTCGAGTCGGCTGATGGTCTCCTGGATCTCGCGGTACTCGTTCTCGATCTTCTCGCGCTCGAGGGCGGCCAACGCCGCAGCTGCATGTCGAGGATGGCCAGGGCCTGCTTCTCGTCGAGGGCAAACCGGTTCATCAGGCCCGTCCGCGCCGTCTCGACGTCCGCAGCGTTGCGGATCAACTGAATGACCGCGTCCAGGTTCTCCAGCGCGATCGCAGCCCTTCAAGGATATGCGCGCGCGCCTTGGCCTTTCTCAGCTCGAACTCGGTCCGGCGACGAACGACCTCGCGACGGAAATCGACGTAGTTTTGCAGGGCCGCCCTGAGGGTCAAGAGCTCCGGCCTGCCGTTCACGAGCGCCATCATGTTGGCGGAGAACGACTTCTGCATCTCGGTGAGCTTGTACAGGTTGTTGAGGATGACCATCCCCTGCGCGCCGTTGCGAAGCTCCATGACGATGTGCATACCGCGACGGTCCGACTCGTCACGAATCTCGGTGATGCCGTCGAGCCGCTTGTTCTTGACGTGGGCCGCGATCTTCTCGATCAGCCCGGCCTTATTGACCTGGTAGGGAAGCTCGGTCACGACGATCTGCATCCGGTTCGAGCGCTTCATTGGCTCGATTTCGGCACTGCGCGGGTTATGATCTGTCCGCGACCTGTCGTGTAGGCATTCACGATGCCCTCGCGCCCCATGATCGTTGCGCCGGTCGGGAAGTCGGGACCTTGAACAAACTGCATCAGTTCTTCGTCGGTCGCCATCGGATTGTCGATAAGGTGTATGATCCCGTCGCAGACTTCCAAGGGATTGTGCGGCGGGATATTCGTCGCCATGCCTACGGCGATCCCCGCCGCCCCGTTGACCAGAAGATTCGGCAGGCGTGCAGGAAGCACGACCGGCTCTTGGAGAGACCCGTCAAAGTTATCTACGAATTCGACCGTCTCCTGGTCGAGGTTCGTCAACATCTCCTCGGCGGCGGAGCTTAGGCGTACTTCGGTGTAGCGCATCGCCGCGGGCGGGTCGTTGTCCACGCTGCCGAAATTGCCCTGGCCGTCGATCAGCGGCACCCGCAGTGAGAAATCCTGGGCTAGGCGGACCATCGCGTCATACACGGCGCCATCGCCGTGTGGGTGGTACTTGCCCAAAACGTCGCCCACGAGTCTGGCACTCTTGCGGTATGATGAGTTGGGGCGCATCCCCATCTCGTGCGCGGCGTACAGGATTCGCCGCTGAACGGGCTTGAGTCCGTCACGGACGTCCGGCAAGGCCCGACCCACGATCACCGTCATCGCGTAGGTCAGGTACGAGCTGCGCATCTCCTCTTCGAGACCGTGCGGTCGGATGTGTCCAAATTTCGTCTTTGTTACCATCTAGGACTCCTGTGGGACCGGTCACTACAGGGGCGAAGCCGGTTGAAGATGCGTTTCGCAGAGCGCTCAGGTGTTCTTGACAAACGCATAGACAGTATACCATATTTTGCCTGTTTTCGTATTGGGTATCGTAGGTGCGAAGGCCGACGTTACTCCGTATACTGACGTATAGATACTTCAGCCGTACGGACCGGATTTTTCTACACAGGAGGAAGAACATGGCGAAACGACTGGGCGGAGGCGATTACCTATACGAGTCGGTGGACAACTGGAACAAGATCGATATACCCGGCGTCGTCTCGGACGTTGCGACCGACTCGGAGGACAGGGTCTACCTGGCGGTACGGACGGCACAGGGTTTCGACGATAACACCGGGGCCATCCTCGTCTTCGACCGCGACGGGAACCACCTGAACACGTTCGGCGAGGAGAAACTGCGCACACCGCACGGCCTGTGGATCACGCCCGACGATACGCTCTACCTCGCCGATACATTCGACCACTGCATCCGCACCTACTCGACCGGCGGAGACGCCGGCATGGTGCTCGGCGTGCCGGGCGAGCCGGGACCCGCGGGCTGTCCATTCAACAGGCCGACACTGGCCGTTCCGTCTCCCGTCTCGGACGATCTGTTCGTGTCGGACGGCTACCGGCAGAACCGCATACACCGGTTCAGCCCCACAGGAAGCGACCCTGCCGCCGCCGCCAAGTACCAACACCTCAAGCGCGGCTGGGAGAGCTCCGGGATGGAGCTCACCGCCTCGTGGGGCGGCGGCGATCTGAACTACCATGACGACCTCTCCTGGGGTTCAACAGAAAAACATGGCACCGGTCCGGGCGAGTTTCTCCTGCCGCACGGCATAGCCGTTGACGGCGAGGATCGCTCATACGTCATGGACAGGTCGAACGACCGCATCCAGGTTTTCGACCGCGACGGGACCTACCTGACCGAGTGGAGTATCCCGAGCCCCAACCAGGGATTCATCGACAGCGATGGCGCTATGCACGTACCCGGTGCTGGGCTGATCTATGTCATAGACTTGGATGGCAATGAGATCGCTTGCTGGGGTGAGCGGGGAGACGAGCCATGGCAGTTCTCGGGAGGGTCACACGGTCTGTGGATCGACTCGCACGGCGACATCTACGTCGCTCAGGTCGGCGAGGTAAACGCCTTTAACAAGTTCGCTCGCATATAGGCCGGAAGCACGGCTGTGAAAGAAAGCGCAGAAAACCGGCATGTCCGGCTAGGAAGTGTTGACGCTTCTCCATCAGTCCCCCACAAATCCTTCTTCATATGGGGATACTGGCGAGACCCTCGCGCTTAACCGTCATACCGGCGAAGGCCGGTATCCATGCGGTCGGATGCCTTTACTGGTTGCTGCTAACCCTTTCTCCTCACTCCTTTGAAAGTAAGCTCCCATGTAGCATCAATTCCGGCGATCCGTCCGACAGTCCCCCAGCACCTAGCACTTAGGACCCAACACCCGTAACTGTTCAGAGTCGGTGAGATATTCAGGAATTGTCCTCATACTGTCATTCTGAGGAGCGAAGCGACGAAGAATCTACAATCTCTCCCCCGGCGGGGGAGAGACACAGAGAGGGGGGTCTTCGCAATTTAACTCACGGAGACTGAACAGTTACCAACACCCTGCCCAAATTGACAAACAAGAACACATGTACCACAATATATGTGAGCGGTCATCCGCCGTCCAACTTTACAATAACGCGAAAAATGCGACAGTTTGCGACACAATGCGACACTTTCGAAAAAAACTTCCGTAGACAGTCGCTCGCAATCCCCCATCTGATCCCCTCTCAATCCGCCAGCGACTCCGCCCATGATGCGGACGTATCACCAGGGACCATCCATCAGCCTACTTTACGATAACGAGGAAAATGCCCCAGAATGCCCCACTTTCAGAGGAAATTCTCTCCGACGGCAACGCGCTCGCAGTCCCGCCTGACCTCCTCTCAATCACTCAGCGAACCCCCCAAATACGGGCATGCGGCCCGTCAAGGACCATCCGGCACTGAATGAACGTGCCGTTTCTCAGCGAGTACGAACGAAGGTGCGAATGACGCCGCTTCCTAAAGCGGCTCGAAGAACGTCAGGTCCGCGCCATGATTCTCCATCGCAGCTACTTCATCACCGCGTAGCTGGACGCGGATGTCGCGAGTCACGTGGCTAAGCACGATCTCCTCGGTCGGGAGTTCGTACCGGAAGGTGATTGGCCTGTTGATCGGAGGTCGTGCAAAGAACAGGTACCCGTTGGTATGGCGGGGCTTGTCGTCGACACCGGCGATTTGAATACTGTCGGGATCGCACCAGGGTGGTATTCGCACGAACAGCGGCCCCGGCGTCTTGACCCTTACGCTGAGAGCCGGATGAGTATAGGCCGACTGTACCTCAACCTCCGCCGTTTCATGGTCGAACAGAAGGTTGACCCAGTGGCCCGCCTCGTCGAACCGCGTCGTCTCCCGCAGCGCCTCGCACAGTGACCCGACCGTCCCTCCGACCACGTCGGTGTTGAAGCGCATCCGCCCGCCGTCCCGCTGCTCAGGGGTTCATGCCCGAACGGCGCGGGGAACCCCCATGCTCCTTGCGTTCGCTGGGCTACCTCGCGGAGCGTGTCGAGGCCGTCCGGGTTGTCGGGTGTCGGTATCCACGAGATGTCACGCAGCTGGGACGGCAGGAGGTGGCAGCGCACGATGCGCTCGGCATCGTGGAAGTAGTCCGTGTAGCCCCACCGCCCGAGGATCAACGCCGTCTCCAGGATATCCCCGGTGTTGTTCATCTCGCCCTCGTCGGGTTTGCCGCTGTCCCCGACCCCGTGCTCGCGAGACCAGCCGGTCTCGTCTCGCATCCCCCACAGCCCGTTGTCGTAGAAGGCCTTGACGATGCCCATAAGCGTCGAGTCCTGGGTAAGGTCGGCAAGCTGTGCGAGGGAAGACATCGTGCAGGTCACGGAGTGCGCGTGGGTACCGAACAGTACAGGGTCGTAAGAGCCGTCCGGCGTATAGTGCCCGTCGAGGCACTTCTCCTTCAGGACGATGGCCAGATCGAGCGCCGGGCCGTACCCGGTCGTCCGGTAGTATTTGACGAGCGGGCCGATTGCCCTAGCCACGCCGGAGACAAAGGAATTCGAACGCTGGACAACGACACCCTCTTTTTCCATGCGGTCATAGTCCCACTCGGTGTCGGGGTTCCAGTAGTCCAAGACCGCCGCGATGCTGGCCGCCGCGGTCTCCTCGGCCCGTTCCGACCCTCGGTACTCCACGAGGGCGTTGAGCGCATGGAAGCCTTCCCTGATGTGATGCGGATTGAAGACCACGGGCGAGTCGTACTGCCCATCGTTACGGTCGAGAGGGAACGGCACCGGCCCGCTGTAGGAGTAGAAGCACGCGTTGGCGAACTCTCAATAGCCTCCTCGTCGACCTGCAGACCCGCCGCATCCTCGGCGTTGAGCAGCGCGTTCAGGTGCCGGCCCGGCACATGGCTCTCCAACGGGATGCCGAATACGCCTCAGGAAGCACTGCCACTCGAAAGTAGGGCACGTCCTCGCCGTTCGGGTCGAAGATGCTGCACATGGCATTTCGCGCCAACTCGATGGCCCCGATTATGTCGGTGGTATTCACGTCCGTGAGTCGCGTCATAACACAGGCTCCCTTGCCGGTAGTCTCCTGAATCGGGGGTATTCTACCCTTCCGTATGACAATCGGACAGTGGATGGAGTGACAGGCTCCAATCGACGGGAGCGCAGGGCTATCCGCCTTTAACCGTCATTGGTATGAAAGTGAACGACAAACCCCTTTTCGTCATTCCCGCGAAGGCGGGAATCCATCTTTGTTCACTGCCACAAACCCAATGTCGATAATGAATGCACTCCCACTTTCATTGCTGGTTGTGCAGCACACAAGGCTGCAAGAGTGATTCCGGCGAAGGAACGTCACCCCGTACCCCGATACGGGGCCGGAGTCCAGGGGGATGGGTCGCGAACGTGCCCCCGGTTTGACCTGATGCCGTAATTCTGTACCATGTGCGGAGGATCAAGGCTCCAAACAATTCAGCATTCTGGTGGCTGAAAGGGTAGATAAACATGCAGTCAACCCATGAATTCCCTTCAGGCCACCCCCTCTCCCGTTGTGGGCTGACAGGGGTATGTAAAACGGAATTGTAACTATAAGCCGCCCCCCTTCCTGTCATTGCTATGAAAATAGCCCGCCACTCCGCAACCGTCATTCCGTAGGAGGCATCATCCCCTGTGCCGTGGGGCCGTGCGCGAGCGCCACCGCCATTTTCATCTCCTTATATGGCCTCCACAAGGCCATAGTGATTCCGAGCGCAGCGAGGAATCTAAAGTCCATGACCGCAAGACCAGATATCCAGTACCATGGTGACATCGTGACCAAGAGTGAAAACAGCGTAAGAACTCTCTTTGTTGGCCTTACGTAGGGACAGACACTTTAGATTCTTCGACTCCGCTCCGCTCCGCTCAGAATGACAGTGACGATGTTGCTTTCTCCTTGTAAAGTGTGGGCCCATGGTCAAATACATAACCCCCTCTCCCGTCGTGGGAGAGGGCTGGGGTGAGGGTGAACACCTACCCCAGTCAGGCACTTAAGAGAGTAGGAGGAAAGATGTTCGACGAAATGACAGACATGAGTGTGATACGTCCTCGCATCGAGAGGATTCGGGCCTGGCTGGAAGCCAAGAACCTTGGTGCGCTGTTCGTCTACTCGCCCGC